GGACAATACAGAACTGTTACTGAGGGCAGGACAGAAACCGTTACTTAGGGCCACAGAATTGTTACTCAGCACAGACAGAATTGTTACTCGCACAGACACAGAATTGTTACTCGCACAGACAAAGAATTGTTACTCAGGGACACAGAACCTGTTACTGAGGGCCACAGACTGTTACTTTAGGGCCACAGAATTGTTACTAACTTCGCACAGACACAGAATTGTTAATACTCGCACAGACACAGAATTGTTACTGAGGGCCACAGAACTGTTACTTGGGCCCAACAGAAAACGTTAATCAGGGACACAGAATTGTTACTGAGGGCCACAGAACTTGTTACTTAGGGCCACAGAAATTGTTACTCGCACAGACACAGAATTGTTACTCAGGGACACAGAGGAATTGTTACTCAGGGACACGTAATCGTTTTAATTAAAGAGTATGTCAGACAACAAACTTGCAGAGGAGTGGCAGAGGAGGCAATGTTTTAGGAGCGAAGCAGACGTGGCAGCAGAGGAAGGGGTCGAGGCAGCACTATTCGCAGCCAGAGGCCAGTGCTCCCGCCCCCGTGTCATCCAGCGGTCGTGACGTCTCCACCGACAACCCTGCCGTCATCGATTGGTTTGGCTCGGATCGTCTTCCTCTTCCCAGGTCACCTCTGACACCTACAAGCCAACGGTCGGTGGGTACGTCAAGACACAACCGTTAGTTGGCATGGCCCGGGACCAAGCCCACTGAAATCACGTGTCCTCTACCTGCCCCTGTCCTTTGGTAGTTCCCTCACCAAGCGAAGTATCGCATGCTGTGGGCTCAGCCCCACTGTACAGTGAGGAAGAGCTAACAGAGGGCGGTCAGGAACGGGGGGAGACATCGCCTTTTCAGCAGCTAGCGAAGAAGTAGTGGCGAGGAGAAGTGGCCCGGTAGCCGGTCTAGAGACAGGTCTGTCTCCTGACTGCCAGATTGCAAGCCGAGGGGGACGGCTAGTAGTGAGGCAGATAGGAGACCCTACTTGATGATGAGGAAAAGTTGATCGCACTTGGCAGCCTCGTCGTCATCAGGTCAATTCTATTTATTTTCTTCCGCATCATCGAGTGAGAAGAGGGTGGTGCAGCTTGGCAGTGAGACGCAAACAGTCGGTGGGGTTGCCCCAGAGAGACAGCAGCAGGGTCGCAGCAGTGTCAGTGGAAAGCCAGTGTCAGTGGAGCCAAACGGCCACGGAGTAGAGCACCAGCTCCACTGCAGCCTACCACCACGGCCAGTAGTGGTGGCGGTTTGTGCACGGAGGAAGCGTCACGCAGTCAGCCCAGTGAGGAGTAATCGGGGCAAAAGTTTTACCCTTACTCGGCGTGTTGCGGCTATTTATTCGTCAAAGCCAGTTTCACTGTATGGACAGGAAGTAAACGTAGCCGTAGTGTCGTCTAATTGTGCGCCAGATAGTCATAGATGCGTTTGGCCAGGGGGGCCCATGTTGGCGACATACAAGTCATGTTGCGGCAGCATTATGCCAGGTCGTCGCCATTTATGGTGGCCTTGGACAGAATTCCCGTGATAAAGTTACGCGTGCGATGGTCTCGCTGCGCCACAGCCCCAGCGCATCACCCGCTCCGTTACACCCGCTCCGTTACTTGCTCCGTCACCTCGACGTCAAACGCCCTCATCAGCCAGGCAAGGCTCCAACCCTCAGCTGAGGGGAAGTTGTCACTCTCGTTGCATCTCCCGCTCGTTCAGATGCTCCTCTCCTGCTACTCCTCTTCACCGGATCCGTCCAGCATCTTTCTTGGAACCGTTTCCAAGATACAACATTTTGCGAGGCACGCACCCGACGTGCAAAAAGCTGAACGTCCCTCCTGTCCAAGTTGCTGGTGCTGCATTCCCTTCCCTTTTCCAAGTGGTGGACTCAGCACCTTTTTTTTTTTTCCAAAAGGGGGAAAATTTGGGAAAATGGGGCTTTGGGGGGGCCGGGGGGGGGGGCCGGGGGTGGGGGGGAGGGGCAAGGGGGGGGCCGTCATTTTTCTTTTTTTTTTTTGGGGGGGGGGGGGGGGGGGGCCAAAAACTTTGGGGGGGGGCATTTTGGGCCGGGGGGCCCGGGGGGGGGCATTTCAAGGTGGGGGGAAAAAACCAGGGTTTTTTTGGGGGGGGCCCAAGGTTTTTTTAAAAAGCATGCCGGTTCCTTTCGGGGCCAAAATGTCGGCCCCAAAGTGCCCCGAGGGTGTGGGCTTTTAACTATGGTCAGGGACAGAACATGTAATTTAGGGCCCCACTTTTTTGGAACGTGGGGGCCCGTCACACCCCAAACCCAGAACTTGGAAGGCCCACCCCGCTTTTTCCCCTCCACGTTTGCACGCCTTGGCCCGGCAAAAGATGCCCCCCCCTCTACCACCTTTTTCTTTTCCGCCGGTCCTCAGCCGCCACCCCCTTTGCCAAGTCCCATTCCCCCGGGGCATATCACGGGGGCAGGGCGAAACCCGGTGTACGCTTTTTCCCGCACCGTATGCCTTGGCAAAACGTAGTCACACGGGGGAGGAATTTTGAGTGAAATGAAAAAGGAGAAATCGACAAAATGGCTGTCCCCCGCCCCAAAAGGGAAAATCGGAAACCATGTGACCGCAACGGAAAGAACATGGGTCTCCCTTTTGCAAAAAGGGAAAGGGTTGTCCCCATGCGCCATGAAATTCCCAAAACCCGTGTTAAAACTGGTTTAAAGGCGGTTCCTAAAATCCACCTTTCCCCACTGCAAAAACACCCTTTAAAAATGTCACGAAAAACTTTGCATGCATTTCAGCCATTCCTACCCCGCAAAAACCACCCTCCTTGAGCGGGGCGGGCCCGAACGAATTCCACGCATCGTGATCTGCGACGTTGCAAAAAGGTGGAAATTTAACCCACAAATGTTAGACCCCCTTTAAAGGGAAAAGCGAAAGGCCCTCCCCCAATTTTCCCGATGTTTTCAAAAACGGATAAAGGTTTCCCCCTGGTAACTTTTATGTCAGCCAATTTGGGGGCTCTGCGTGACACCCCGCCGCTTTCTCGGCCCTTTGAGGAGGCCCCAAAGCTATTCGTGAGATCGGAAACTATGGGGAAAAATGACCCTCATTCCCCCTGTTGCACGTCCTTTAAAAAAATGCTGTTAACAAAGGTTGGTCGGGTGCGGTAAACTTTGGGGCACAAAAAATCTCAACGCCAATTGACCCCTGTGGGGGGAGGACAGGGAAAAAGAGGAGGAGGGAAAGGAGGACATTTGTGTCAGGAATTTAAAAAATGAAAAGGGTGGTTTTTTCCCCTAAACGGGGAAAGGGGTGGAGGAAACAGGGGGCATCTGGAGAGGAGGAGGAGGAGGAGACAGGGACCCAGGGCGCACCGGGAAATAGTGGGGAGGATTTGGGAGGGAAATCCCTTTGCATTCCTTGGCAAAAAAGGCCCATAGCATTCTCGGGTTGCTTGCGTACGGGGAGCCCCAATAAAAACCTCAGGGCCCGAGGGGTACTTTTGGCTGTCCACCTTGTTGGACCCTCGCTAACCGTTCCAAAATGGTGGCCTTTTTCACAAACCCGCGAAGGGAGGCCAAAATAACGACTAAAAAACCACCTATGTAGTCAAATTGGCTCTGCCTTTGTGCGCCAAATTTCCCTCCTCAGACACTGTGGGCCCTGTGCGGGTCGCGTTCCGCTTTCCAAAGGGGAGCAGGGGAGGGGGGGGGGTGGTAGGACATGGGAGGCCCCCCACAGCGGTGTCAAATCTGCAGCGATGATGAGTAGCCCTTTTTTCAACCCCAGGCAGTGAGGAAAAATACTAAACCCGCCGGAAGGGAGCAGCAAACAGCAGCAGCCTCAGGTGGGGCCTGGGCAGGGCCTCAAACAACAGGTTGGGCCCTTTTCTTTGGGACAGCACCCTGCCAACCCAAAGGGAGACAATTCCCCTTGACTACTGGTCAAGCGTAAACTTGACCTTTGGCCCCAACTAGCTGAATTTGCCCCTGAAAAGGCTGTTCATGCCCGGCCAGTAGCGAGCATCGGAGCGCGTGTTTAGAGCGGCAGGAGGTCTTTGTAACTATCCGCGGAGGACACGATCTGTCCACCCAAAGTATGGAGAGACACACGTTGTGAAAATGAATCAGCGTGGCTTAGTCAGGATTTCAAACACCATTCCTGACACAACTGAACAAAATCCGCCATGAATCATGCCTCAAACATGTGCCCATTCAGTCCCTCACACCTGCTTGTGGTGTGTTAAGTATTTTTATGTTGACAGAGGGGTGCTGGCAGATTTAGCGGGGGCTTTTCCCATAGCGTTGCTGCTCAGGTACCTAAGTCTGCCATGGGGGCCTCCTGTATACCCGCCTTTTCCTTCATGCGTTGCTGGCTCATGTCCAGGAGTCCATCTCAGTTGGTCTCATGCCACCGTGTTCGACTTTCTATTGCTGCTGTCTCCTCATCTCCACACCTGCCATGAGCCATTATCAGCTTTTAGTTTCACACAGACGCTGCTGGTGTGTAAATTTGTATGACTATTAGGGTTGCTGGTCGAGATTTACGGGCCTCTCCATAGCAGCTGCTCAGGTTCCCTATGTAATCTTGCCATGTGCCCCATAGTATAACCGCCTCCTCAAGCGCTGGTGTCTAAGGGATTCCGACTATGTGTTCGTGTCGATGTCTCAATGTGCTTTCACTTTTTTTCTAGGTTGTTTTGCGTCTGAACAATGTATGTGTTGTTGTTGTTGCCCAATTTTTTTGGTCATAGGGTCTTGTTGGTCTAGAATATATCACGCTGTGTCTGCCTCGATTGTGTGACTGTGTGTGTGTGACACTAATTGCGCCCATTGGGGCCTCCGTTCATGTATCGCCTTCACACACTGCTGGTCCTGTAAATTTGCCAGGTTGACCTAATAGTTTTGTTCTCGTATGGGTCAGATGTACTGGCTCGGGCCTCCCTCATAGCTCGCTTGCATGCCCCTAATTCCACTCCATCGCAACACTATATGTGCCGCCTCCTCAGTTTGTGCACTTGCTGCCAGGTGTGTTCTCAGAGTCTCATGCATGAGGTCCCAGTACGTCCCCATTGATAGCTGTCTCCATCGCCATACTCTGCCATGTGCCACTTTTCAGGTTTCCTTCCACACACTGCTTTGTGTGATTCCTATTCTTTTTTGGGTCATCATGTGGGTTGTGCTGGAATGTGTTTACGGGGGTTGCTCCCAGTTGTCTGGTGCTGCCGTAGGCGTTGGCTGTAATGTTGTCGCATGGGGGCTTTCGCCAAATATACCTCAAACCTGCTGTTACTCATGCATGCTGGATGCTTTGGCCCACAGTTGTTGTCATGGCATTGCTACTTTTATAAGTTCCTCCTCCTCATCGGGTGCTGTCCCTGAATTTGTTGAGTATAGGGAGGTCTCTCTCGCATAATGCTGCGTCCTTCTGCTGCCATGTTTGCCCCTAAATTGCCATAGTTGCCGCTCTCTCTATATGTGCCAGCTTTGCCAGTGGTCTGGGTCCAGGTCCAGAGTCTAGTCAAGTGGTATCCCTGTAACGGCCTCCATTGCTGCTTTCCCCATTTTTGTTGATATGTGCTTGTGCTGTTTGCCTACTTTCAGGACATCGTCACACACTGCTTTGCCAGTATGCACTTTTTTAGTGCTTTGTTGTGCTGGGCATTAGTTACTGTGGTCTTCCTCTCTCAAGAGCTGCTGCTTTAGGTTCCATTTGGTCCCTATTCCCACAATCGCCATCCTCCATCAGCCATTGCCAGCCGCTCCAGACTTTGGTTCTTGTTTACCATTCTTACTGGCCTCCCATCATGCTTGCTGTTCCATCCGCCACATGTCTGTCCATGTCCAAGAAATTTCAGGTTCATCACTCTCTCCATCATGGTGTGTGAATTGTTTTGACATAGGTGCTGGCAGTCAGATTTTTGGTCCGGCCCCATAGCTGGCATATGCTCTGCCTTGCGTTAGGGCCATTGGCACCTAATCTGCCATTGTTAGGCCCATATTTTTAACCGCTCCTCCCTCATGTTGCTGCGTGCTTTTCTAGCAGATCGGAAAGCCTTTGCCAGTTTGTGCCACTTCCAGGTTGTCTCCTCAGCAAGTCTGCTCGTGTGGTTGAATTATGTTTGACATAGGGTGCTGGCACCCTTATGGACCTTTTCCTTTCTAGCCTGCTGTTGTTTCTCTAATCTGCCATATGGCTGCCATTCTATTTTTGTTAGCCAACTTTTCCGATTGTTTTTTTGTTCATTATTTTCTGCTATGCTGTTGGTTGCTTGTAGGTGTTAGAAGACTGCTTAGTGTGTGATCATGGTTTACGGGCGGCTCCCATTTGCTGCTTCCTGGTTCCAGGACGGTGCTTGCTGAGTAATCTGCCATGTGTCGGCGTCCCCTCTTTTCCCGTCTCCTCCTCAGTTAGCCTGCTGTGTACTAGCTTTTTGCATAGGTGCATGCAGATTACGGGTAGTCCACTAGTGTGCATGCCATGGTTGTTCCCCTTGGAACGGCCCATGTCCTTATACTGCACCCCGCCTCTCTACATCGCTGCCTCCTCCCATTGTGCAAGTTTGCATTGGGTGTCTCCATGTACGCTCAAATACTCTGTCTCCATCTCCACAGTGTGCCCACTGGTTGCTCACTTTCAGGTCTCCTCTACACATCATGCTGGTGTGGTTCTTTGTGATTGGGTGTTCATTTTTTTGACATTGGGTTGCTGGCAGAGCTGACGGTTGCCCGCCTCCTGGAGAGCTGGACCTTTGCGTAGGCTGCCAGAGCTCGTCCCAGCTGCCATTTTGGCCCCCCCCACGTTATCTAGGCCGCCTCTAGTCGTTGGACAATGGTGATGCCTGTGTTTTGTACGTTTAACCTGCTTTATTTGTCTCATGCTGTCATCAAGGTCTCTCATGTTTTTTGTTTGCTCTAATGGTATGCCATTTGTGCCATATTTCGTCAAATCCTCAACACACACAGCTGGTGTGTATTCCAATTTTTTGACCAATAAGGTGCTGGCAGATTACGGGCCTCCCATAGCTGCTGCCCAGGCCCCTAATACTGAAACATAGGCCCCTATATAAGGCCCACCCGACTCATGCTGCACCGTTTTCCAGGTCCAGAAGCTATAATTATTGATCCCTAATAAAGATCCCATTTAGCTCGCTATTAGGTATCTGCCACATTGCCCCATTGATACTTTTTGTAATTATCCTTAATTAAATGCGGTTATATAAAAATAAAATTATATATTGATTATAATATATTATGGCAAAATAAATGAATTAATAATATAATATAGCTATGCCTCAAAGGCCCTCTAATGTAACTTTGTTTTGTCAGCCATATACCAAGACCAGCACAGCTCAAAGTAAGCTTCCACATGCTGCAAGCCAAGAGGCAGCACAGCTGTCATGGCCAGCTCCAGCTAAACGGCTTTTTCCTCAGAATTGCTCACTGCTGTAGCTTGACTCCTGCGCTCTGTGCCCAGGCTTTTCATGGAGGAGGCTCACCAAGCTGCTTCTTGAATTTTTTGGACAATAGGGTTCTGGCAGATTATGACGGGGGGTCATTCCCATTTGCTCTACTGCTCCTGGCACGTAATCTGCCATGGGCCCCTGGTCTGGGACACCTCATGCGGTAGTTTTTTACGTTGCAACAAGGAGTGGACTTAACAACCGCTACACATATGTTAGACCGCCTTTAACGCAACAGCGAAAGGCCACTCACCGATTGTCCTGAGGAGGGTTTAAAAGCGGATAAAGGGAGGACTCCCTAGTTGTAAGACTTAGGTGAATGTCAGCCATGTGGGCAGCGTGCATCGCGCGAGCAACCTTGCGCTTTTTGCTCAGGCCCTTTGAGGAGGCCACGCTATTCGTGAGTCGGCAGGACTATGGGATGCGAACGACTGTCATTCCTCTGTTGCACGTCCCTGGAACAAATGCTGTTAACAATGGCTGGTCAGGGCGTTTGCGGAGTAGACGTGGCGCACCAGATCTCAACGCCACATGGACCCCCTGTGGGGGGCAGGACAGGAAGAAGAGGAGGAGGTAGAGGAGGACATTGGTGTCTCAGGAAATTATTGAGTGAAATGGGTGGTTTTTTTCCACTCAGCGGGACAGGACAGGAGGGAGAGCAGGAGCATCTGGTAGAGGAGGAGGAGAAGGAGACAGAGGACCCCACAGACGCACCGTGTGCAGTATGCTGTGGAGATGGAGGCAGGGAGTCCCTCGCACATTCCTTGGCACAAATGGCCCATATAGCATGCTCGCTCGGTTGCGGTTAGCGTTGCGACAGCCGAATAATAACCATCAGACAGAGGGGATGACTTTTGGCTGTCCACCTTGTTGGACCCTCGCTACCGTTCAAAAATGGTGGCCTTTTTCACACCTCTGAGAGGGAGGCCAAAATAACGTTACTATAAAAACCACCTATGTAGTCAGCTGGTCTCTGCCTGTCTGCGCCAACGTCCATCCTCAGACACTGTGGGCCCTGTGCGCTCGCGTTCCGCTGCCATGGCAGCAGGGGAGGTGGTGGGGTTGGGAAGGATTGGTAGGTGGCAGCAGTGGCAGCTCCACAAGCAGCGGCTGCCTCAGTCTGCAGTCGATGATGAGTAGCTTTCTTCACCAGCGCAGTGAGGAAACTACTAACCAGCCCGCAGCAGCAGCAGCAGCAGCAGAATCAGCATCAGGTGGACCTGGAGCAGGACCTCAAACAACAGGCTTAGGCCTACTTGGACAGCACCCCTGCCAACGAGGTAGACAATCCCCTTGACTACTGGGCAACGAAAACTTGACCTTTGGCCCCAACTAGCTGAATTTTGCCCTTGAAAGGCTGTCATGCCCGGCCAGTAGCGTGGCATCGGAGCGCGGTGTTTAGTGCGGCAGGAGGTATTTCGTTGCAACTCCGCGGAGGACACGGACTGTCCACCCAAAGTGGGTGGAGAGACTGACGTTTGTGAAAATGAATCAGGCGTGGATTAGTCTGGATTTCAAACCACCAGTTCCTGACACAAACTGACTAAATCCGCCATGAATCATGCCCCAAACATGTGCACTTTCAGGTCTCCTCACACTGCTGGTGTTTTCCAATTTTTTGTCATAGGGTGCTGGCAGATTACGGGCCTCCCATAGCTGCTAGCCAGGCCCCTAATCTGCCATGGGCCCCTATACCGCCTCCTCATGCATGCTGCCAAGTCCAGAGTCCTCTCATGGGTCCCTGTACGGCCTCCATATTAGATTGCTGCTGTCTCCATCGCCACACTCTGCCTATGTGCCACTTTCAGGTCTCAATCACACTGCTGGTGTATTCCATTTTTTTGTCATAGGGTGCTGGCAGATTACGGGCCTCGTTTCCCATAGCTGCTGCCAAGCCCCTAATCTGCCATGGGCCCCTATATACCGCGCCTCCTCTCATGCTGCTGCCAGGTCCAGAGTCTGTCATGGGTCCCTGTACGGCCTCACATTGCTGCTGTCTCCATCTCCTCCAGCCACACTCTGCCATGTGCCACTTTCAGGTCTCCTCACCACTGCTGGTGGGTTCCACATTTTTTAGTGGTCATAGGGGTGCTGGCAGATTACGGGGCCTCTACCATTTCTCAGCAGCTGACCAGGCCCCTAATCTGCCATGGGCCACCCGTACCGACTTTAAGCCTCATGCTGCCTGCCAGGCCCGTAATCTGTCATGGCCCCTGTTGTCGCTTGTTGGCATATTCCGCTCGTTCAGATGCTCCTTCTCCTGCTACTCCTCTTCACGGATTCCGTCAGCAGTCTTTCTTGGATCCGTTTCCAAGAGACAACAGTTTGCGAGCACGCACCAGACGGTGCAGAAACTGAACGTCCTCCTGTCCAAGTTGCTGCTGCCAGGCTCGTAATCTGTCATGCGCCCCTGTACCGCCTCCTCATGCTGCTGCCAGGTCCAGAGTGTGTCATGGGCCCCCGTACCGACTCCAAATGCTGCTGCCAGGCCCGTAATCTGTCATGGGCCCCTGTACCGCCTCCCCATGCTGCTGCCAGGTCCAGATTGTGTCATGGGTCCCTGTACGGCCTCCCATTGCTGCTGCCAGGCCTGTAATCTGCCATGGGCCCCCCTACCGACTCCTCATGCTGCTGCCAGGCCCGTAATCTGCCATGGGCCCCTGTACCGCCTCCTCATGCTGCTGCCAGGTCCAGAGTGTGTCATGGGTCCCTGTACGGCCTCCCATTGCTGCTGTCTCTATCGCCACACTCTGCCATGTGCCACTTTCAGGTCTCCTCACACTGCTGGTGGTTTCCATTTTTGTCATAGGGTGCTGTATGGCCTCCCATTGCTGCTGCCCCTCCCCACCGCCACACTGTGGCTCCACACTCTGGTTTTGGCCCCGTGACTGGCCAAATGAGTGAAGTGTGCGGTGATTCTAAGATCGACGGCACTCATCTGCATGTCATACTGCCTGACAGTATTATTTCTCTTCCCCAGCAGACTCCAAGGGCATTTAAATTAAAGGTACAGTGTTCAGCACTAAATTTATTAAGTCTCTCTGAAGCCTAGAAACACCCTTTTTTAAGTTAAATTCACAGCGAATATATTCGACTCGAATCGAAATTTTTCCACGAATTCGCCGAATCAGTCGAATCGAATTTTTTGAATACTTCGCTCATCTCTAGTTGTGGGACATGAACACCCCCATTCCATACCTGGAACAAAGCTTCCTCTGATTGGCTAAGATGATGTCACAAGCCCCAACTCAGCCAGTCAGAGGAAGCTTTGTATTCATTCAGAGAATACAAAGCTGCCTATGAGTGCAGCTCAGCCGAACTCTGTTTTGTTCCGGGTATGGAAGAGGATGTTGCATCACACAGCTGGAACAAAGAGCTGTATACTGCATGTGACTAAGTTACAGTTACGTTAGATCTATTACAGGAAAATGATATCTAGTCTTTTATAGTCACTATTTCTACTATATGCTCCCATTACATTTTAGATAAACACTTTCATTATTGTCTAACACAGATGTGTCTGGTAGTGACTTGTTTCACTGCGTCTTAAGTCTTGATAACAATTTCAAGCTATGCCTTTATCTTCTACATATAATGACACCACAATCATTTATCTTTCTATTATAATCACTTTTCTATATACAAGGACACAACTAGGATTAGATACAAATGTATATGTTGGCATAGGTATGCTTTGTTATATTAGTCACATTTGCAATACTGTTTAATCACAGTAACTCATTTTGGTTTAAAACATTTTTTAGCTTTTTTGCAGTATTTTTTTTATATTTTAACATTTCTATCACTGCATTTTTATCTCTATGCATTGGATAAATAACAATTGGTCTTGTGTTATTATTATTATTATTATTATTATACAGGATTTATACAGCGCCCACAGTTTGTACAGCACTTTACAAAATGGACAGAGACATTACAGGTAGAAACAGGATCAGCGGCCCTGTTTGTTAGAGCTTAGGATCTAAATCAAGTGATACAAAAGGTAATAAATGATAGGGAACAAGCTGACAGAGAAAGTAAATATCCAGTTTATTAGTTAGAGGCAGGATAGACCTCTCTGAAGAGCTGTTTTGAGGGTTTTGAGAGATTGCCTAAAGCCGGCCAAAGATGGTTCAAATTTTGGCCAGTTCAACGAGGACTGCTGAGATTCAAACCATCTATGGGCTGGCTGATTGTACCCATGTCAATCAATTGATCAACTTGGGTAAAACCAGCATGACTGAATTTTACATGCGATTAGTGCAAGCATCTATAGAAGCTAACAGTAATCACTCTGTTCTCCTGGCAGTAATAGCTCCCCATGTCCCCCTTTCCCACTGGGAGAACACAATAGCTCCACAATGTATGTAAGATCAAACCGCGCAAATCGCCAATCAACTGAAGTCACAAAGCTGCAAGTATATAAGAGGATATCGTCTCTTTAACCTTCCTAGCGGTCTGATTCTATCAGTATTTCTGTGCTGAAAGCGGTACATTGTTTTCAATGGAAATATGTTGTTTTTTTATTGTAGGCCTGTAACTCTTAGGAATAACTCACTGAAATCTGTCCGAACAAGAGTCTAGTAAACATCCCGGGTATGATAAAATTTGAAACACAAAATCATAACTTATAATATAATAAATAATCATAAAAAATAATAATATAATAATAATACATTTAATGCAACAATATAATCAAACCAAAAACACTGAAATTTGAAATATAGCGCCACGTTCGCACATCACTGAGCTTAATTGCAAAATCGTTTTCAGTGTCTGATGACAATTTTCCCCACGAATCATTATCACTCAATTCTGCAAGTGGTTCTGATTTACTATCGCTGTTCTCTATCTGGTCTAAACCCGCTTTTGACCTAAAGAGACGCTTTTTGGACGCCATGGACGTTTCTCAGTTTCCAGGCAGAAAGAACAGTAAAAATGCAGGCAGGGCACAGGACAAAGAACTCGGGTCAAAATGTATGTGAAATGGTTTGATACAGGAATGTTATACTATCAGATTTTAGTGTATTGAGTGAATGTTACATTTTTTAATTTTTTAAATTCCCTCCGGTTCCATCCCCCGTACGTCCCGACGCTCACAGGGAACGGAACCCGGAAGAAGCATGCCGGCATCGGCAGGAGACATGGCCGGGGATGCAGCAGGGGGGACATCGAGGGACTGCAGGACTAGGTAAGTGCTTGAGGGAATCCCTGAGCAATGCTGCAGTGTAATCCCGAGTGTAGCTTGGGATTACCGCTTCTGGTACTGAAAGTTAACCCCGAGCTACACTTGGGAATACCGCCAGGGGGGTTAAAAGGCTAATTCAAATGGATACTGTGCTAGATGAACCCTTAAAACTTTATGAGCACTATGGAGACCTTCATACCTCTGCAAAATGATCAAAAATTGAAAATAAAATGCTGTAATAGTTAAACTAAATATGTGCATACATATGCCCTATGAAGACCCTCACCCCTCTGAAGGGAGATCAAAATTTTAAAAAAATTGATTGAATAAACTGAGTGAGTACAGTAAGCACAAATATGTGTAAGAAACCATGATATGTGGTCAAATTAACCTCAAATATCATGCATTATCTATGAGCCCTATGAAGACCCTCACACCTCTGTAGAGTGATCGAGGTTGAAGATAGGTCAAATCTCAATGTGCAAAAAAAATCACCTCAAATATACATAAAGGTTAGTAGAAAATTTTCAAAAACAATAACAAAAAGTCCATATAGACATAAACCATAGTCCATAAGTATAAGAAGAAAATTCCACAATCGATGGTATTATTGCAGACAATGCTGTAAGTGCAAATGTAGATAAACTTGCTTCAAGTGGTCACCAGAGTGCACACCACCACCAAAGTAATGAATGGAGGCTTAGCAGAAATGGAGACCCCTTAAATACAGGGGGTCCCAACCTGGGGCAGACTGACACCTCATGGGGCCCCCCAGGCAATAGGGAATCATGGGACCCCTGTGTCCTCGCCCACACCTTAACCACACCCAAAAAGCCTATGAAAGGTACCAGGAGCATCTCGTGGGGCCCCCTACTGCCCCTGGGCCCTCGGGCAGTTACAAAATGGTCAGTCCGCCTCTGGTCCCAACCAACTTTATAATGTAGAGCACTGGCAGGCTTCCCATATCACGCCCCAAAACATGGAACTTCCCAGACTCCAATTCGAATGAAAACTCAAAGTGTAGTTCCAGACAAGGTCATGAAAGGAAAAAACATGCCTCTCACAGTGCAATACGTATCCAAAAATTCTTTATTTGCGAAAATAGGATCCTACTTACAAGCTGTAGAACAATTAAAAGCATTCTCATGAACCATATCCAAGATGGCCAACAATGCAATAACGTCAGAGGGAGGCTCTTCAGAGGGGTGAGGGTCTTCATAGGACATATGTATGCACTTATTTAGTTTAACTATTACAGTGTTTTATTTTACATTTTTGATAATTTTTCAGAGGTGTGAAGGTTTCCATAGGACAATAGCTCCACAGAAGGGATTCCCTCATCAGCACTGACTGTATTGATGGGGGGATTGAGCGATTTTCTTTACTGCAACACATAGTTGCAGGTAAGAAAATTGTATCATCTATGGCCTTCCTTAAGATGGATAAAGTAGGAGACATAGATTAGGGTAAGGAGTTCCAGATGATGGAAGAGCCTCCAGACAAGTCCTGGAGGCAAGCATGGGAGGTGAAGACAAGGGAGCTAGAGAGTATGAGGTATTGGGGGTAACAAAGAAAATGGTTTATTTAGTATTTTGAAGCAATGTTTGCAATGTAGCTGGGGGCAGAGTTGTGGGTGGCTTTACAGGTTATTGC